TTTTCTATACCTATATCCCTGGGGTCATATAAAAATTTCTTGGCTGTAATGGAGTTGTAAGTAGAAAAAGTTTGAGAAATTGTGCTTTAGTGTTAATGGTCACTAGACTGAATGACTGTGACAGTGACACGGTCACCAGGAGCGCACTCTCTTTCCTGAGCTTTGACTCAGGAGTACTGACACGCAAAGAGCCCAGTGGTTAAAGCCTGCCCAAAAGTCATACAAGGTATTCCCAGGTTTGAAAGGTATGATCTGTTTTCCTAGCGCCTCACCGTCACCTTGCTAATTCACAATTGCTATTGTGCCCCTCTCAGTTCTTCAGAATCGATTTCAAAACTCAAATGCGTCGCTTGGTTCTGTTATTAGCCTCTTTTCACTTATACGTAAGTACATTTTAAAACATAGAAGCAGGAAAAATTCAAGTATGCTCACCTGCTGCATGTTATAAGGCACTTTGTAAAACACGCCCAGTTTATTCAGAATCTTTTGGCTCAAGGAAGGCTCATCTGCTTCAGTTTCTCATTCTCTCTAGGATGCTAATTGTTTTTCTTTTGATAGTTTTGTTTTGGCCTGAAGTCTAAAATCTGGCCTGCTGAGCTATGTGTCAGATTTGTAAATTAGATGACATCTGTTTTGAGTTTTATCATCTTTAATTTTCTTTCAGGATACCTTCACTTATTCATTTTCCCTTTAATTGTAAGAATCAGGTTTTTTTCTTTGCTTTAGACAAAAGCATAGACCTTTCTGTTCTGGGGCACCAATTTAAATGAGTGTAACTATGTGGTCTCAATGGAGACTATTCAGGGAAGAGATGTTGGGAGAGAGGCCTTAGCAACCATCCCAGAGAGGATGAGCCCTTGACACAAAAGGCTAGCTGTCCACACCGGACTTCTGAGGTTCCCACCGAATAATTACAATCTGTTAGGAGGAGATTGACAGTAAAGATTGAACTGGGAGAAATGTTTTTAATTGAGAGAGGCTAAGGTTGTGGTCACATGTATGATGAGTTTTGACATTTTAATTTCTTTACTTTTAATTTTTCAGTGCTGAGGATTGAACCTGGGGCCTCACATGCAAGGCAAAGTGCTCTACTACATAGTTACATCCCCAACCTCTCCCTCCCCCCTCCCTTCCTCCT